GCGCACCCGGAGAGTACCATCTGCTTTCTCGACATTGTTGACCATACCTCCTCTTCTTATTTTTTTATCCCCTCTCAACTCTATTTTCCGTCTATTGACGAAGAAACTACCGCTGACTTCGCTGCTGCTGCCATTAATACTTGCAACTCGGCTATAAAACCACGTGTCTCATTTCACGCTGTTTCTTCCAACTTCCGCACTTTGGTCAGATAATTAAGCAGTCAGCATTGACTTTCACGCTTCACTCTCTTGGTATTGATGTGTGCTGTCTCCGAAATACGCATACAAGATAACAGCCTCGTGACGTAGCTTCGTCTCTGGTTCTGAATCTGACGACAGTGACTACACTCTTCGTGTCTCTGGCGATTCTGAATCAATGGCTCAAAGTATTTGTGTTGATATTACCCTCAGTATATGTGCGGTTTTACTTCGAACCTCTGTTGGGGTTTATATGCGCCGTATGAAGACAAGGTGCCTTTTCATTGCCTCCGTTTATGCTTCTACAAACTGCAATTCGTAGGGTACCAAATACGATTTCTATCGCCTTCATCTCTTCGCACAGCGAGTAATACTGTAAATATTGCTCTTCGCCTTTCAGAATCTGAACAACATGAGGGAGGGCGCTTCGAGGTTGATGTACGCCGAACAGACAACGGTGATAGATTCCTGCAACCGGGCGCCGACCACAATTCTTATATTAGCAGCACTGTTTTTCAGCACAAATGCTCACACCGCTTCATCTGGCGCCCACCGAGTTCCTCATTGACCTGGACCCAAATTGGCCACATTGCCATCAGCCATAGGCGGTGTCCATCAGTTGGTCAATTTAAGCACATGCCTAGATTCCGACAATGATCTAGTGCGCATACGCCTGGTACTTACTCTTCTCGCATCAAAAAAGCTCCTCTCTGCTAACCTTACCTGTAACTTGAACTGGCAGCCTGCGGTCCAACAATACCATGACGAACTGGTCCACCGGATGTTAGTGATGCATGAGATTGGTGAGCCCAATGCTGGCTTGGATCGTACTAAGTGTGCCATGAAGAATGCCTTTGGCGCATGCTCTGCACCTGTGGCGGACTAATGGCAGACACTAGTGCGCCGGTTATCAGTAGTACATAAGTATCTGGATGCGAAACGGCAACCGGCCATCAGCAGGTCGTAATGACTCCCTAAAGGAAAGGAATACTTTGGAACCGCAGTTGTATGCGCACGGGGAATGGACACTTAAACTGTGCACACCACACAACCACTAGACACAGAAAGAAACCCGCGCCATGCAACCGCTAACAATGAGTGCGCAGCTGAGTGGGTGTTTTGTTGGTCTGAACCGCTGCACCTAGTATAAACTGTTTTAAACAGTAAAGATTCCTGCTTGCACCTTGTTTTTACATTGGTTCCGTCCTCAACCAAGGTGCATCTTGAAGATCCCCTGACCGGAGCCGTTTAAAGAAGGGGATGTGAGGACCTTCCTGGAGGACTTCGAGGATGTATTGGAGGCGGTTGGAGTCACGACCGACCTTGCAGATTTACTAACCTGCAGAGTCTCCTCAAGGGCAGAGTGAAGGCAGCCCTGGAAGCAGTTTGAAGAGACCCTGTCGACTTGGGGTGGGCCTCTGCGAAGGATGCTTTGGTGCCCGGAATGGACAGTCCGGTCGACCGACAGGAGGCGATGCGGCGGTTCAAGGCGGTACGGCTGGGTGTAGGAGCAGGTCCCCTCGTGTTTACAGTTCAGATCAGGTGCTTGTTGGACCGGGGCTTGCCGGGAATGGATGAACCGTCACAACAACAATTACTGGTGGATCAGTACATGGACGATTTCCCACAGCCAATCGCGGAACGCGTCTGTTTGCGAACGCTACTCGGAGAATGCGGCTGGAGAAGTTAGCGGAGGTTACTCGAGAGTAGGGCGATATATCACTCACTGCGCTTAAGGAGGAACACCATGGTGGAGTGGAGCGATTGGATAAATTGGAACGGATAATGGAACAACTGCAAGATGCCAATGAGCTTCGCACTCAGCGCTCGGATGCGCGAATGATAGGATGTTGCTTCCTTTGCGGGAAACCTGGACAGTGTCCGGTGAGGCGCGCTGCTGCACGTGTATTAAATACACGCATTCAACCTTGTTTTTGTTCTCGGTTCGAGGGATGTATACTGGGGATGCTGAGTAGTGGGGCAATCGAAGCGATGGCGGAAGTAAACAACGATGAAGCGGGGTCTACTCGATGCGGGTGCCGCGATGTCGCTGCTCAACTATCGGCGGGGCGATGAGCTTCAACCGGGCTCCATGTTCGTGAGAGTTGTTTGCGGTTACTCAGTGGGCATTGATGGTATGGCCGAACACATCGTAGGAATCGGATGACGAAAACTAACGCACATCTGCATTGTGTGCGCCTGTGCGAAATAATCCATATTGGGAGCAGATTTCCTAGAGTTCAACAAGCTGTCGTCGGTTAAAAACGAGGGGTTATTGACTGAATATGGGTTGTTGCCACTCCTTGGCTGGGGAGAAACGGTACATTAGCAGTCGGTTATTGCTGCGTTATATTTGAACCCGAGCTTGCAGTCACTGATCACAAACTATCACCTCTTGTTTACGGATGACGGCAGCCCGTGTAGATTTTGCGACTGGATCGAGCACACCATTATGCTAACCCCTAGGCATATCCGCCCCAGTGACCTCGAACGATACCAATCCATCTGGAGGCTAAAGTGACGAGGCACGTACAGGAGATACTGAACGCGGATGTGATTGAAGAGGCGCACAGCCCATACAGTTCTCCAGTTGTCTTGGTACGGAAGTCTAATTGGTAGCACCGTTTCTGTGTGTACTTCCGAATACTGAATACTGTATTTTGGAGCAAGTAGAAAATAATTATGTACAACTCCATCGGGTGATAATCAAAAACATTTAAAAAATAAACACGTCCGGTGGTTATCCTGAGATGGTTCAGCAACTCCTTCTGTAGCACACAAAATGCTTGTTCACACAGTGAGTCACAAGTGGGTGATATCATTGTCAAGTGGCAACCGTTCTCTGAAACGTATGTTAGCAAAGTGTAAATCCAACAAAGATTTGAATTTCTGCACAGATTCGGCCTCGACGACGTGTTCTGGCAGACTGTTCCAGGCGTGCACAACCCTCCGCTCGAAACACAGGGGGTGTGGGATTTTCTTCAGATCAGGTACCACGAGTTTGTACCTGTGCCCACGTGTGGTGCATGGTACTCGCAAGTGGAGTAACGACCTCAGCATGGGGAAATGACCGATGTAAAATACGGTAGGTCATGATAAGATCCACTCCAACACGGCGATACGACAAGGTGTAGAGCCCAAGTTTCATGCACCGGTTTTCATACGATAAGCCTCTCAAGCTGGGGATCAACTTGGTGGCGACGTGTTGTACTCGTTCGATCTTTTGCGCTTCGTCGCGAGTGATCGGACAGTATGCAGGCGAGCCGTACTCTAGCATTGGTCTGACGATGGAAGAGAAGAGGCGAGTGGCGACGTCCTCAGACCAATGCTAAATGAATTATTCTTGAGCCGTTTCGTCCCAGTACCATCCGTTGCTGACATTTTTGATAGATTGCAACACTCGAGGATTTTCACGCTTCTGGATCTGAGATCTGGCAACTGGCGATCAAAACAGAAGACCAGTAAGCAACGGCATTTGCTGCTAGTGGAAATCGATACCAGTTTAACAGTATGCCTTTTGGATTATCGGGAGCGCCGTTTATCTTCCGACGTTTAATGCTTCGGTTACTGAGTAGCTTGAAGAACGTGGCGGTGTACGGAGATGATATCGCGGTGTATAGCCAATCAGAGGCGGGGCACAGCGGTCATCTCGAAGTAGTAGGGACTCCGTATAAAAAGACTTAAACCCTAGGCTGGAAAAAACTTGTCATCTTATTGCGTTATAAAGTGGGACAAGGTGAGCTGAAGCCACTGTCTGGGAAAATCTTTAAAATACAAGGCACCCCAGCTTCTACCTCAAAGCGCACTCTTAATGCGTTCCTGAGCCGTGCTGGGTGCTACAGCAAATTCGTCAAGAAATTCAAAAATTTGTCCTCGCCCTTGTACTAGCTAGTGAAACAGGATAGGAAATTACCTTGGACTGCAGAAGTCCAATAAGTATTTGGTTACATTCTACAGTGAATGGGAAGGCGGTGGCTGTTCCTGAAACTGCCTATTGCTGGAGAGATGTTCACGGTGGCCACTGATGCCGGCGACGTTGGAGTCGACGCAGTTCTAAAACAAATCCATATGATGATTGAATACGCTAACAAAATTTTGACACCGGCAGAACGCAAATACACAACCAAAAAGTGGGAATATCTCACAATCCTCTGGGCATTAGACACATGGCGGCCATATTTGCTAGGTTAGCGATTTAAGGGCGAAACGGACCACAAGCCCGTGGAATGAATTACGCGATGGCTGCTGCGGCTAAAGGAGTACGCTAAACCATAAGCGACATGCCGGGGAAAGAGAACCAAACTACTGATTTTTGTTGCGCATTATGGACGAAGATGACCTGCCGAGTGTGGCTTTCGGTATTACTGGTATACTTGGAGAAGGCTTCGGGACAGTTGGCGGCCGAACAACGTTGTGGCAAACCCTTGCGCAAAGTTATCACCGCACGAATAACCGGCCAAACAATTCTACACAGGACCGATAAACACGTCTCGTCGGCTACACTAGTTGACAAGGCGAAGAGTCTACCTCAGTTGCGTTCATCTTGTGTGTTCTTTTATTCCTCCTCTTCCTGCTTATCTTCCCCCTCCAACAACGATCTCATACAGCATGTATAATATGACACAACGTTATATTACTTACTTTTTCGTTTTTGTATTTTGTAGTGTTTAGTATCGCGCTCCTCAACTGTTTTCTGTATTGCGACATAGCTGAAGGGTGTTTTTACCTTCAGCTAATGTGTACTGATAACGATGATGCTTCCTAAACCAACATTTGTAATTTGACTTTCCATCTCATTTATAGTTTGCTTACCCAGCGCAGTATTGCCAATAACAACGCAACCATGCCGCGTCGGAGGTTAGTTTATTTTCAGCATTTAACGACTACTTTAGATATAGCGGATCTCCGTCCTCTCGCACGACTCTTCCCGCACGTCCCACACCTTCATTGCCAGCCCACCCGCCGCAGGCGCAACCAAAACAGCCGGGTTTGATGGGACAAATGGCTGCTACCGCTGGTGGAGTTGCTGCTGGGCACGTGATGGGATCGGCAATAATGGGTGCACTGTCTGGTGGTAACAACGAAAGTGCTGCAGCTCGTCAAGGCGTTGACACATCGAACGTGCAACAAGGAAACCCGTGTCAATTTCAAATCGATGAGTTGATCCGGTGCACCCAATTGCAACATGATATAACATTTTGCACGGGGTTTTCTGAAGCGCTCAAGGAATGCTCTAAGGCTTATGGTCTCTATCCCGGACAACACTGACTTTGAATCGTTTACTCATTAGTTACGCTGACATTTATGTTTCTGTAGTTAAAAAACTCTGCTTGACTTGCTTTTTCTGATTATCGCCAAGTTGTTGGTTTATCGCTGGGTCGCTGGACGCTTCCCTGTTCATAGAATGCATTTGTGTCACATGAAGCATGTGTAGTGCACCGAACGATGTCTCGTTCATGTAAACGAATGTGCGACACTCGCTCTTCGTCACTACTATCCACCTTCTGCATACTTGTCTTGCTGTTCATTTAGGAGCAACTGGCCTCAAAACTGTTTCGACTTTTCCGTACAGATGCAAATTCAAATTTTGTCCTTTCAGAACACATCCGCTATTCACGGTATTTGTACTCTAAACGAGCTCCATTCATTAAATCTCCATTGAGTGTTCGCTCAATGCTAGACGTTCTGTCAGCATGAAGACAGTCGGTAACCAGCTATCCTCAAATTAACCACTATGTTTTTAATGCATGATGTATCATTCTTTCTAGTTATGACTATTGAGAGGATCTCGCTGTTAAACTGTCCTATTCTTGGGCTTCCATTCAGCCCCTTTGAACGGTATGCGCTAACACCTGGGTGTTGAGTTTTAGACTCAGCTCTAGGTTATTTTATCCGATATTTCCTTTTGAGGAACCAAGTCAATGAAAGCGCTGCCTTCCGCCTGTGTAACGTTAGACTATTGGTTCAACAAGCGTTGTTCTGTGTCTCGAGTATCGGGTTGCCAAGATATGTGAACTCTTGTGGTTAAACACTCTCCGACATGCTGTAGGCGTGCTATCAGAGCGCTCTTAAATTCGTACTGAAGTATCTTGCTGCCAACCTCTCACATAACCAAATTTAGCTCTTGCTTTTTGGATTCCTATGAGCTTACTTTTTGCACCTCAGATTCGGTGACTGAATTCGTTGCTCATCGTTAGCCACGTCACAGTTAAACTGTACGGACTGATGCAGCAAGTTCGCTGTCCAAGTCACTAGTGAACCTAGTTGTGCAACAACATTGCATCCTTCGCTTGCTTTCCATTTCATAAATTATTGGAGCGTCTAACAGGCCGTGCTACCAGGCTGTTTTTAGAAGTGAGAAGGTCGGCTTGTTTTCTCCGCAGATCGTTATTTCTGTGATAGTGATCCCGGATAAGGTAAAAACATTAAGGAAAACCTTTTATTTCAGCAATGAATCGATTAACTTCGATTGTACATTGCTTTCGAAGATTCTGCAATCTTCTATTCCTTTAAGTGACCGCTAGCATCCCGAGGTTTGGCAAGAAAAATACTAAGTTTAAAACGTGGTCTTTGTTTTCTAAACGTCGAAGACCATTAAGTGACTTAAATGTTTTGCAAAGTTCTGGGAAACTTTTACAGCCTTTTGGCGGCGTTTGATCAATACGTTTTTCTCGGCCAAGGTCGTTGGACTTCTGGTTTTTTTCGGCTGGACTGGAAGTTTTGCGGAGGATTTTGGGTGTTTAAGTCGGAGTGGGAAGAAAATCTAGGAGATCTAACAATAGTGGGCAGTCCTGTCATTACTAACAGGCGTTGTTGATCATTTATGTGCCCTGGATTGTCTGCTTATCGTTTTGGCAGCCAGAACACGAACAGAGTTGATCTCTGCCTATCCCTTTTAAGGTTGTACAGTTCATCTAGTTTGCTGCTAATACCTAGAATTTTCGAATTGACACTAAAAAATAACCGGCAGTGAAACTACCTAATAAATCGTAAACAAACGGAACTATCGAGAGGGTTACATGACGGTTGCGCAGAGAATATTGCGCCACATATACGTTTGGCAATGGCTTCTAAATGAGTCTCGAGTATAGTTCGGTGAACACACGCTTGACGCGCGTGCTCCAGGATCATTTGGAATAATCTGTCTCTTTACTTCATCTCGCAGCTTAGTCACGGTACGCTCATTCGAACCGGATTTACCAGCTCTACACTGTGATCCATCATACGTGAAATTATCTTTTACCACTAAAGTCCCAACCATCGCTAACGGATTTGACTGTCATCCGTAATTGAACATTAGCGGACAATTCACACACCTTGTGCCCATTGTCCTTGTGTAACAACATTTCGGTGCAGAATTCTCCAGGCAGTCCGAAAAGCCTAAGCTCATTCCAGTCGGGTGTTTTTCAACGCATCTGAAGGAATTTGTAATCTCCTAATCTGGGTTCAGCATTGTTTAGATTCATTTACTACGTCCTAAACCAACCGGACCTAATATCGATCGATCAACCGACCAACACTGCAACGTGTGCTTACAAGGGATCACCGCTGACAACGCGCGCGCCACGCTGACTCACGCTTATTATTGACGTCGGAAGCTGCACTAACTGCTCATCCGACAAACGCGTGACCTTAAAACTTCACGCCCTCAGTGAACATGTCTAAAGATCAAGTGTGAGTTGGGATAAATTAGTGAAGAGTGGGCTAGTTTGCAACAGTTGCTTGAAAATCTATCACACAAAATGCCTTGGGACGGAGCCGATAAAAACGAGACGGTACAATAACACGGCAGGCGTTTTGATTCTGCCCAGTAAGCAGTGCTATCCCAGTTGTGAGCTGTCTAACTATGCTACTGAAAGTGTGCAAGGCTAACAGGCAGTCGGGCAACTGGTGTGCACCAGGGTTACACCTATGAGAGGAAACGGACCTGCACCTCTATGTGAACATAACACCCCGAATTACCCATTCAGGTCGAAGAAGAGTGCCAAGCCTCCTAACGACTCAGTCTCAGTCAGTACCCACCCCCTTCTCTCTGTCTACCATAAGTAAAAACATTGTTTGCAGCATGCCTGCTTCAACTTCTCTGTGGTGTGTTTCACCTAGTAGGTTATTCGCTATACAGGCGACCCTAAACTGCAGTCAACCAGCCATAGTGAGAAACCAAGTAAACTACGAATCGGTTGCCGCCAAGCAAACACCGAAAATGTCACCGGTAACCTTGGTGGCCGGATGTCGCAGCACGGATGGCCCTAATCAGTGCCGTTCACAAATTCACCATAAGCACCTGAAATTAAGGCTCAAAAAACCAGTAGCCACCAGGCGCAACCAGGGTGTCTTAAACCTTGTGTGCACTAATGTCCCCGAATCCAAATCCAATGCAATTAAAGGTGGGCTGAAAGACGATCGAAATCAGTGGAGTTCCATCTGTACGTCAATCGCTGTCCATGCTGATCCCACGACATTAAAACGCATTGCACTGTGGTGAACCCCGGTTACTTCGGGTAACACTAAACTCGCTGGATGAGACAGAGGCCTTTCGATTGTCTGCGAATCGACTCCACAACGCCTCAAATAGAGTGCGCATACTACCTAAAATCCCGTGGAAAGAACGTGCAGCGGATCCAACTAACAGAGAGAGGAAAAGTAAAGTAAAAAAAACTGTGATTACTCGCGGGGTTCCTGAACTCACTGATTCCTCTTCCGATGACGCGCAGCTACACGACCGGGAGCAATGGCACTGCATCCTTGTGGCCCTTTCTCTCGAAAATGTCGTGGCCACCTCGTTGACAAGGATCCCCGTATCATCGAACTATAAAGCGTGCAGTCCCAGGCTGGTGAAACTGTTGTTGCAACCAGAACTAACGGCAAAAACTCTTCTAGAGCATTATACTAAATTCCGTAGCAGGTCGCCAACAGAATTTCGTCTGAAGGCTGCTGGGGCATCACCATCTTCTAATGGCAACTCAGTGGAGGCGCAACTCTCAATGAAAACACCAACTGTAGGACCTGACTCGGTGACAGTAGCCATAACATCCGGAGGGACACAGCAGAGCGCGAGTGAACACCGGGATCCGGGACATCTGATACTTGCATATGTACCAAATTCGTCTCGAGTCTGCAACCCAAGCAAAAAAACGATTAGCCGCCGACCTTACATCGGTTGGCGTAAACTCAATTGTTTCTTCCCTTCCACCCAACACACTTGGTCTCCCAGAAGCTCTCGTGTATGTACACAATGTCCAAAGTCTACTCAGCAAACTAGCTGAATTAACTTCGACCCGCGTCAGTAGCTTGGGACCTCAGCGATATCACGGAAACATGAATACGCTGTGAGATAACGGATGCCGAATTCACGCTAACAGGTATGTCCGTTGTCCGGAATGATTTAGCCTGCAAAGATGGTGGGGTAGCCTTCTACTTTCATAACAACCTGCACTGCCAACCCATACACGATTCGGAAAGCGATGTACCTGACTCTATCTTGACCCAGTGGCTGTTGTTTGCCGCCCACCATCGTCAACACCTGAGATGGATTGCAACTTGGCTGCATTGAGGCAGGTGATAGACAGAAAGTATAGCCACGTTCTAGTCACTGGTGATTTCAATTTACATGCTCTAGATTCCCAGTCCACACCAGGAGAGCAATTCAAAGTAGACCTGCAGGATCTTGCCTCAGCTTTTCCGCTTTGTGGCCAAGTCACCGCCCACCAGATTCAGAGGAAATAACAGACCATCCATACTGGACCGAATATTCACAAATGAAGAACTGATGATTAAGAGAGTGAAAATCGATACTCCTCTAGGCCACAGTGATCATGCGACTTTGCATTTTATGTTCACTTGTTATGCTGAATATCCCGAGGACCGAACTCAAACAACGCGAACCGTAATCAGTTACGATACCTTAACCCGACTCGTTGGAGCGACCGACTGGAGTTTCCTAACCGAGGATGCACCCGATATTGCCTGAAAGCGTTTCGTCGGTAAGTTTAACACCCTGGTTAGTGAAGCATCGAAAACCAAGACTATCAGTTCGAGAAACATGACGTCGTTTATGCAGAGTAGGACACGCAAATGTGCAGCGCGGCGTGATATACCCACAAAACCGATCCGAGTGCGAGTGCCTGGAAGGCATATGTTGTCCACCGTAACCACTGTACACAATTAGTGCGCGGGGACAAAGCAGCTTATCAACATTCTTTAGTCGACCGATTAACATCAAATCCTAAGCTTCTGTACAAGCAGGTGAACAGCCTCCGCATGATGCAAAGTGGATTTCCCCCTCTTCAAACAGCGAACTGCTAAAGAAGTGTCGAATGTTCTGCAACAACAATATGCACCGACGTTTCATTGCACCCCGTGATCTCCTGAATCTTTGAAATCTATGGTGCCCACACCAGGACTCACTCATATAAGTTTTACGGCAGACACCCTGATGAGAAAGCTGCTATCCATGCGCCTGCACACGTGTCCAGAAACTGACGACATCCGCCCAAAGACGCTTGTTGTGATGGCTACTATTTTGGCTGAATCTGTGGCACGGCTGTTCCATCACTGCCTTGACGAGCGGCACATTCCTTCAATGTGGAAACACGGAATAATAACTCCCATTTACAAAGGGGTAGTCTTTCCGACCCAGCTACTTATCGACCAGTGACACTACTGCCAGTTCTTCTAAACTTATGGAGGCTATCATTCTTGACGCACTCTTGCCTTATCTGGACGGCTTTGGTTACATTGCTCAGCAGCAACATGGCTTCCGCCAGAATCGGTCGTGCACAACCAATCTATTGTTAGCACGAAACAACTGGACTGAAACTGTGGACGCTGGTACGAGAGCTGATGTGGCGTACCTTGATTTCTCCAAGGCATTCGACCGGTTGCACCATCGTATCCTTCTCGCCAAACTTCTAGGATGTGGCATTGGCGACCCTCTCCTGCAATTTTCTCTTGCACAGGCGTCTGGAGGTGAAAGTATATGAATCCATGTCAGACCCAATTCACTTCGAATGCGGAGTGCCGCTGGATTCGGTATTAGGGCCCCGTCTCTTCTTGGTCTTCACAAACGATCTAATGAGTCAA